CATTCTAGATAATACCTCTTTTTAAACCTACTACATCAAATGTGGAAAAAACACTGCTGAAATGGCTATTTTTTACCAGAAACTGGCCATTTTAGAATAGCGCATTTGGTTTTAGAACGTGTTCTAGAGAATTACTGAGCTCTTACTTAAAACCTTTAAAACTTCAATTAAAACTAACCTGTTAGAAAGACTGGGAAGACGCCAAAAGCGAAGAAAAGCACTGACTTCATGTTGATTTTGCTTAACACAACTGAACACGAAGCACCGTACCTAGTGATTCACAAACAAAGCAGCGCCCACAAAGAAAGTTGGATTGTACCCGACGCAAATAATGAAGTCTTTAGATAACAACGACCAAGACCAGGTTGTGCCTGCGATACGAAAAACGTCATGCGGTCTTGCCCACTATTATGTACCCCAATATAGCGCTCAGAAACGCTCAGAGGAACCGTTTTGCCACGCGAGTGTTGCAGAGCTGTGAAGATTTAAACAGTTGAGTGAGAGTCTATTGAACGAAAAAAAGGAATGTTTTTTCCGAATCCATCCATGACTTTGCTGTGATAATTCTTTAATTCATATTTATACCTGGATTTTTGAAAACCGGGTTAGCAAAAATATCCACTCACTGTACTACTTGGCAATTTAAAACAACAAAACTCATTCAAAGGCCGATTAAAAGCCTTTATATGACGCCGGGCATTCCAACGTGTCCAAATTGAAAATGACGCAAATTTTAGAACATTTATTCAGTAAACTGACTTCGCGAAGTTTTAAACCGGTGTCATTTCAGTCTAAAAATTTTTAAGTCGAGTGAGCTGCAGCGAAAGAGTTAAGGCTTATATAACAACTTAAATAGTTAGCAAAACACTACTGTTTTCGAGGTCCGATAAACAACAGGATTCCGCATGGAATAGACAACAAACTGAATGAAACATAGTGCAAAAATTATCACCTTCTTGTCCGCAAAAACCGGCCTATGGTGCAATGCCATTAGAGCCCGCTGAAACTAGACCTAGAGTCGAGAGTTCCTTTTCCAAGGTACAATCAGATAAGCTAAACACCGACGAAACAATATTAATGGCTGGCACAGAATGTACATTGCAGGAAAACATCACGTTCTCGGACTAGAAAGAAAATCGCTTAGTTATTCAGATCCTGAGGCACTTTGGACAAAAATAAAGAACCTAACAGCCTTATTTAGCCACAAGAGAGGTCAAAGAAAACGCTGTTGCATCAGAGGGAAAACTTCCCTGCTAGCAGAGGTCTCTCACGACGAGAGACCTCTGCTAGCAGGGAAAGGGCAAATCATGGACACCAGAAATTCAAAAACCATAGAAAATCAATAAGCGTGTCATGACCTCTCAGTGGGAAACAAGCGGCTAAAATCACATTTGCTCAGTCAAAGCATAGAACCTCTGGAGCATGATCTACTCGCCAGAAAAAAAAATGTATTGGAACAGGCAGCATTTTGGCATGAGGTAAAAGTGGTGTAGGTTTTAGTACTGCGAGCAAATCTTGTCCTGAAGACCAGTGTAGAAGTCGCTTTGAGTTTCTCATTGCGTAATACACGCGACATTCCCAGCCGCTCCAATTCCAAAAGACTTGCTTCGACAGCTGAGTTAAAATTCGAATTTACGTCCGCCATTTCTGAATTCGGAATAATTCTTTCCCGCAGTTGCATGCAAATGTAATGGAATAAACAATATAGACTTACCGTTAATTGACAGGTATCAATCTACTTCCCTATGCCGCACTAATCAGGGGCTCCGTTTGCCAGCGTACGGACTTTCCCAAAAGTACAATGATATCGGGCAGGCGTTTTTTTTTTCTCCCCTCGCCCTCCCCCCTTTCCTTCTTTCGCCTTCGCACCTACCCTTAGGGTTACTATTTCTACTCTCCCCAATCTTCCACTGTCATAAAATCAAAGATGGCGGCTACAACAATACGAACACAAACAACTGTTTCGCCCACTCAAAATACGCCTGCACTGCAGGCTAAGTTGATAGCCTTATATGTACACCCAAAAAATAGCAATTATCTTCGATCACATTTAAGAGCCACCATGGCTCTTGATCACAGTAGATTAGGCCTGGAAAACAAATCAGGCCGAATTTTTTGCGTTCGACAAGTTTACGTTACAAAATCTTGCCAACAAGTCTGGGGACGTGTAAACCAACCTTTTATACCTTTTATACATCACATCTGAGGTGAAACAGTACCATGAGGCGCTGTTTTTATCGTGCAGACGTCGGACGGAATGCAGTATTTCACAATTTTGCAATACAAATTGCACTCATTCAATGTTCAGGACGATCGAAGCACGCGAGGGCTCAAGTTAGCGAAACCGTCAACAAAATTTCCAAAATCACCTATACGGCTAGCGGTTCTCTCTTTTGACAAGAACCAAACTTTTTAAATTAAGATTAATATAGTTATACGCTTAGTCAACATAATAAAGAATTTATTATGTTTATTATTTATTTAATGATTTTATAACGATGTGTAATCTTCAAAAGCGTTTGATACGCGCGGCATTTTGATTACTCCCGCAAGCGACGTTCATAAGCGACTGAAAACAAACGGCACAGCGATTTAAATTGCCAAAGAGACTACTAACAATCAATAAAAGGAAAATAATTCGGTGAAACATATACAGACAACAATTTTCATTCACGGAGACAAGTATTAAAGTGTCTCTGAAAATCCTTGTTTATGTTTTAACCCTTTAAGTCCCAATAGTGACCAACAGCAATTTTCTCCTAACGATATCCATACATTGTCATGACATGAGGTTATGAGAATTAATAAAATGATCACATAAGAGAAAAAACTTTGATCTTTTATCAAATTCTCTTAACTAATTCTTAAAGGAAATGTATAGAGATCAGTTTGGAGAATTTACAAGTGGATAGTGGGGCTTAAAGGGTTAAGCCGGCTTCCCCAGCCGGTGTTTGCTTTTTCCAAAGATGAACTAGAGGCAAGAAAATCGCTTAAAGCTTTCTTTTACAGCCAGAATTAAAACTAAATATTCTTTGGAACGTTTTCTTTCTATCTGCGGTGAGAAAATGTCTAAAGGCTTTTTAAAGTTCTAAAGCTTATAATCAAACCTGATACTCGGTCACTCTCGGTCACATCATTGTCCCAAATCTTACAAACGTGCATAAACCAGATAGCCGCATAAACTACGCTCCACTTCATTAAATTAGATATAAAAAACAAACATCAAATACAATAATTACTCAGGCTTACCATTCGAGATGCACTGAAAACCATCAAGTAAGGCCAGAATCGCTTCAGACTTTTCAACCGTCTTAAGCATCAAGCAAGGCCTAGGTGAAAAACGAAAACGATGCCATCCGAAATCGGATTTCCGACTTTGCCAAAGCAACGTATTTCTCAACGAAAAACCCAACAAACAAACTAGCCATGAATATTGGAAGACTCTCGATAGCAGCTGAAACCATCCCAATACAGTTCCAGTATTTCCAAAGCGATTGGACAGTCGCGAGAGGAGGATACCATGATCAACAGTATCAAATGCAGCCGAAAGATCGAGAAGTACTAAGATAACTGAATTATGTTGATCTATTGCCATGGCTATGTCATTGTGGACTCTAATAAGAGCCGTCTCTGTACTATGGTTTCTCCTATAGGCTGATTGATATGTTTCACCAAGGTCATTAATATCTAAGTATTGAATCAGCTGTTTAGCAACACATTTTTCAATAGTTTTAGATATGAAACGAAGATTAGAAATAGGCCTATAGTTCTTGAAGTCGTTCGAATCCAGAGAGGGCTTTTTGAGCAATGGCTTAAGTATGGCTTGTTTAAGTATTTCAGTCATCCGACCAGTTTCCAAGGAAAGGTTTACAATCTTATGTATTACTGGGAGAATAGAAGGAAACAGACATTTAAGTAGATGATCAGGAACGGGATCTAAGTCACAGGACTTAGGGTTAGTTGAGCAGATGATACTCAAGAGTTTATCCGGTGGAACAGTCGAAAACATGTTAAGTTGACAGCCTGTAGTACCGTTATCTACAGCAGCAGATAAAAAAACTGATACAGCAGATGAAAAAAATGATAAAATATGATACCATGTCTACAAGCTGTAAAAATACCTTGGAGAAACTCAAGCAATGACACTGTTAGCAAACACAGAACATACCGTCACCAATTCACCTGTACTTAAACCTGTACTTAAACCGACTAGAGTGACGAGTAAATAAGGAAGTGGCACTGTAAATATCTAAATAAAACAAATTGGCGGGCGATCATGTACCTTCCAAGCTCCATCTAAACGTCGGTTTAATCAGTAAATGAGTGTTGCGATCTGTGATATTAACACTTCTAATCAGTTTTAGAATCAGGCGACTTACAAGTTCGACCGATGATCTGAACACGGGGCGACCGAGAAACAAATCCAGCTAGTGGCAAGAACGGGACCACCCGATTCTGAGTCCGACACACTGACCACTCAGCCACGTCAGCATTTCATCGAAGAAAGAGCAGCTTTTACTGATGACGTTTGACGTTTGCATCACAATACCTAGCCACACTTCAGGGCTGGAGCAAGTAATGAGTATTGAACAAGACTGTACAATGGTTCGTGTGATTCTCTAGGTGATCACCTTTTGTCCTTCGTATCTTGGAATCAAAAAATAAAAAGTGATAACAGAGAGACAAATTCTCACACCCGATAGGACGAGGAAAAACCGGTCAATAACAGACGCAGCAAAATGCCACTTGTCCTTGTTCCCTGCCATGTTCTCCTGCTCGACAACCCTTCCATAGATATCACTAATTTTGGGGGTAATTTCATCCAGTCGTTATCCAAAGGATTCCTCAATTCACAGCACTTTTTTACCTCCATCTGGCTGCCGCTCAACGAAGCATGTGCACCTCCTTTGCAGATTAATAATTTACTCAAAACGTCGCACCTTTGGACTGGCGTTTCGATCTGATGGTTTCTCGATTTTCGGATGACTTGACGTTTAGTTTCATTCGCAACACCCTTGCCAGACAGCCAAATACAAAGAAATCAACCCAAGCGGGAATTTCTTCCTCCGGGTCACTGAAATGGTAAAATCGAAGGGTGACCGATGTTCCGATCGGCAACAACTGTACTTAACTGTATTTTTCGTGGCGTTTACGGAGACTAAGGTCCATTGGCCATTACGGGTGTACTTTTGCAGGTCAGCAGTGTTGTTCTTAAGCGCAAGATCCAAGTGTTGACTGTTGTAGGTCCAAGAGCCAAAAGTTAAAAACCACGTTTGTTCATCAAAAGGGAAGAATGTAATGTCGATCTTACAGATGGACTTGATTTCTGTTGGCGCGAACCACTCGTTTCGGCCATCGTGATGTAGGATTACCTTGGTGTCAAAGTTGTACATTTCTCTACCGACGCCGTTTATGCTGAAATAACGCGAAACTGTTAGACAAAATATAGCGAAGAGAATAAAGAGTAGTTAATTACAATATTCCGTTTGGCCACTACTAGCGTTCACTCAGCTATAAATCAAAATTAACACCAGATCTGCTCTCAAACCGTGCACCGCACCTCAAACCGGGCACCCAGTATTTCAAAGTTGCAAGACTCTGGGCATTCTGTGGATTTTCAATGGAGCGAAGGCTTGAACAAACGCAAGTGCTTATGAAATACAAGATGTGAAACGCCATTTATAGTTTAAGGCTTGGACAGATGCCACAACATGGGCTGCAATATTGCTCACAAAATCGTTCGCTCAAGAAAGCCATACGCTTTAACATGTGCTCACTACATGCAACATTTGCTGAGCAGATGCGACAGAATTGTAAAAACTGCCAACATCTTTTTAACTGATAATGAGATGCACCGCATGAAACCCAAACTTAGCCTGTCCAGTGTCGTCAGTACACTCTCATGAAAACTACGTGTTTTTCAGTTTCGGGCAATTCTGTTTGGGGAGCTTCACAAAACATGGGCTGTAATTTAAGGCGATGCAGTTTTTCTAGTCTTTTAAGCCTATTCATCTGCTTTGGATACACTTTATACCGGGTCGTTCTACCACCACATCAAATTTTACAGATTAAAGTTTATATATGCACAACATTTCTACCCGGATGGTTTGTGTAAATGGTAGGCGCCTTTAAACTTTGGACCATATCATTTGGGCGATTTTCAATATGTAATTTTTAATTACATATTCTGATCAATATTGTGACCCTGTCGTTTTCGCTCCCACTGAGTTCAACACCGTTACTCCTTCAGGGCAAAATTCCGGGGCACTAAAACAGCCCATTTTAAGACTTCCTGTTCCTAAGCTGGCGTCGAAATAAGAATCTCTCTCCTAAACTTCAGTTTATTCAACACTTGGAAGCTCTTAGCGAAGGTCAAACCCGTCTTATTCAGTAAGATATACCCTGTCATTTATTTAAAAATGTTTATTTTACTAACCGCTTCTATCATAGGAAATTTCGGTAAATTATCCTATACAAGTCTTAAACTAATTTAAAATTTTATAAATATTGACATTTACGATATACAGTAGCACTGTTAGCTAGTTACACACTTTTTGACTTTTTAAAATTGGAAGTTATTATTTCTCGATACAACTACGTCATGCCAGTATTATTTGCTGAGTCGGCGTTTTAAGTTAACACAAGCTTTGAAATTAAGAGTTAGAGAATTAAAAATCCGACACTTAGGGAGACAGCGAGACTCTTTTTTAACTTGCTGTGATCCAAAACTTATCTTCCTATCAAATCCAAGACCAAGACGTGACGTTCACTGAGAAGACTTCGATTTCGGTTTTAACTCTATCGTTGTGGACATGTACATGATTTTTATAAGCCGGCAATCTATTGTTACAATTGTGTGGTATATAAGAATTGCTCAATTGCATCGTCTCGGCGCGAAGGCTCAAACGATATGTTTATTTAGAGTTCTCGTAAGAACTTTTGCGTACGTCCATGTATGCATTTAACGCATTTTTTTAATACATGAAAAAAGAAGAAAAACTACAAGACGGTAGCTTTGATGTACGGTCGTGAAGTAACGGACATGCCTAGTGTTAATCTATTTTTTTCTTGAACAGTCCTTACAGCCGTAAGTAATTGCGTTGCAACATTCTAATCGCTCAACAGGGACTTAAAAGATAATGTTCAAAGCCTGTTTAAGCAAATTTCAACTGCCTATAGTTTTCAAGCAGTTGGAAACAATTGTGTTGCAAGATGTTATGTATTAATTCCCCCAGCATGCGCTCAGAAGACGGCGTTCGCAGAACGTAGATTCACGTGGCCTAGGTCAAAAGTTAGATAGAGTTGACCCCGGATAAATCAAACCAAGGATTCTTCGCGAGATAAAGACTCTATTGTAGGATAATGGTTGTTGGGCATCCATCTCTAAAATAAGGCCACGTGGACAATTTTAGAATTAGAAAAAAACGAAATGAGTAAAGAAATAAACCAAAATTAACAATAATCGATGTTATAATGAGGAGAGACACTTTGTCCTAAAGGACATCTCCAATACTGTGTTCCTTTTGCCGTATTCCGAGCAAACGTTTTGTCGCAAGTCTATTCTGACGGGAAATTTGGACCACTTGAACGTTCCATGCATCTTGAGATGTTATTTCAAGTAGACTTTTAGATGCTGTAATGCAGTGAATGCCAAAACAAGTGATTTCTAGACTTAATTCCATAATTTTTTATTCCTTAATAGGTACAATTAATGGCTTTCTCCGGCTTTCTCTTCTCCGCTTCCACTACAAAATGTTGCTACGTTGACGGTATCAACATTGGAGTTGTAGGGGTAGGTATTGTTTTCATCGTCTGTTCTCTGAAGTAATTTCCTCAAATGGGATAAACCAAATTAAATCAAAAGTAGGAACGGAAAGAAAGTAGCGATGACCCAAAGAATGCATTTTTGCTGTTCACTTTGCACATTAGAAAATCCACTGTGTTATTTGTTCCATTTGTTCCTAATTAGAGCTAACGAAAATAACAGCTGTCCAAATCGCTTAAGGAGCGCCATTACTATTTGAAAAATGAAGCAAAATGTCGTGGACCAACTCCTTAAGAAAAAATTAAATTTGAAGACTATGTAATAAATATTTGTTTTCAAAAAAGTTATGATATTAAGAAACGGTCAAGATAAGAACGATCGAAACAACGGCAACGAACATGTTGGAATGCAAAAAAGGTGCTAACTTTTCTATTGTCTGTACTTACTTCTGATTGGCTTAAACAGCAGAAGTTAACAAAACTTCATAAAGCAGTACATATACTCATCCTTACTTTCCAACCATCTTCCTTATAACAAAATCTGGTTTCAGTTTGAATAACAAAGAAATCCTATGTGGGGAACATGTAAAATTGTAAACTTTTTTGGGCTATTGTTTTCAACTCTTGTGATTGGTCAAAATCTTTTAGCACAAAAAAACACCCTTTCAAAGTGGAGTATAAATGCATTTTATTGCGTAAACGGTCTTCATGTAGGTTTATGCATTTTCTGTGTAAAAATGAGAACATTCCTATGTGGGGAAAGCACCGTTGCCGCATAACAAAAGAAATTGCTATCCACCTTACCCGGATCATTACTTAAATAAGGTGAGATAGGAATTCTTGGCCTCTTTTGTTTAAGGCCGAATTCAGGCACGACAGAAAAGAAATTGAATGGAAAAAAGGGAAAGTACTGTTGACAAAAAAGCCTGAAATATAATCATCATTGCAACTTTTTTTTACTAATATTTGAATTTTCAAAAGAGTGACTATTATTTTAAGTGCATGTGAGTACTCCCAAAACACTTACTTTCGCCAAAGCTGTCTTGTATGTACCTAACACTCATTCAGTTCAATAATACACCTTTATTTATTACTTTAGTCCTTGCGAGAGTGTGCAAATAACACCCCTGTGGAATACCAACACCTTAAAACATGAATAAAAGTGAATAAAACTGATCACTCGACAGTGCGCTTGTGTTGACAGTTTAACATATATAGTCTTCTGCTGGTTTAGGCTAGATTATGTCCGCGATAATGAGTCATTTCAGTCAAGTTGCTTGGCTCAGTGTTGTGTTCGAAAGACTCTATGGAACTGTCTTTGGTATGAAATTTTCCCCAGTTTCCTGCGCGACATAGCAACAGCCAATGAAAAACCAGGGCAGTCCCATGGTGCAATTCGACACAATATCGTCCCAGTCTTACGTTCAACCTCAAAAATGAACGATAACAATTGCCTGGTTACTGAGCGCCCGCAGACCTAAACCCTGTCGCAGCTTTGTTGTTCTTTGAAGACGTTTTAGTTTATTGATTGTGACATAGGAAAACGACAGGTAAAAATGATTTAGTTGAAAACAATGATGGAGGGAAAAAAGATCGGTTCAGCTGGTTAAAGTTTATTGGTGAGTAATGCTTTTTAACTGGTTTTGTCCTGACAGATTTGAACAATACTTTTATGAGGGGTATTTAGCCGGTATTGGTAGAAAATTACAGCTATTTAAGCTTTTGATAAACCCATTTGGATGCAAGCAGTCAGCACTAATTAAAAGAGTTCGTGATTTTGTCATCCAAAAAAAAAATCCAAGCTAAGGAGAAAGGTAACACCTTTAATAGTTTCACTTTTCCTGCAAAAGACTTAATAAAATATTGGAGTTATTGTCTGTGTCCAGAAATGGTCAAAAAGAGCGCAAAACTATCAGTGTATAAACTAGCAGTAATTCTCGCTACATAAATGCGAAATATGCAATGACGTCACCGCTTTACAGTCAGTGCACTGTATAGGGAAAATCCCAAAACCTTGATGAGTTTTACGGTAATTGAAGATCAACAACGGATGCAGCCCACGGCTAGGAATAACCAGTTGCAGCAGGAAAAGTCTCGATGATTTTCATTATTTCTATAATTATGGTTTTGGCGCTTGAGGAAAAGGGCTGAAAACCAGTCGTACTGGTTTTCGTATAAATCGCGAAATATTACCGAAGCATAAAATTCTGGCTTGATATTCACATTGTCGAATGTCTAGCTAGCCCTATTCTGTGTCTATAAAGAAGTGTTTTTTATCCTAAGAGACTCTGAAACTGAAAGGCGGATGGTAAAGATACCATATTACGAAAGTTTAAAAAGACCTTTTTATGAGGAAACCTCGAATTTTTGCCACTTTAGACTCATATTCCACTCGTCGATGTCTTCTACCCTTTTTCAATGATGTAATTTTTGAATAACATTATCCAAAATCTGTGGTTAGTATTTTCAGAACATGTTTTAGTTCCCTGGTTCGAAAATACATTAATTATTTACTCTGCCGAAGAAAATTCACAAGCAATTGAGCTTTGAAGACTTTCACTCGGAGGTTTTAGCTCCACTTCATTTGCTGAAACATAATAAACCTTGAAGATTAGAGAAAGAAAGAACGAGTTTACATGAAAGATTTTAAAGCCTGTCGATAAACTCACAATTTGTGGTTTTATCCCGTTTTAAAACACTCACCTGCGCTAAATGTTTTTTAAAACTTCACACAGTCTTTCTCTTTTTTTATTAGAGCAAGTAAAAAATAACTTTGAGGAAATATGTACGCCTTTTATTTGTTGGCCATGATAATCTCATGTTTTCCCAGTTGTTTATCTTAAATTGACTGAAACTATTAATAAAATATTTCGCCCATCTTGCTTATGAAGACGAAATGGAAACATTAATCACTTTGCTAGCAGGACGTCTGAGAAATGATTATATTTGGTACTTTAGCATGAATGATCGAAATACACAACAGTTTTTTTTTGTGTTTCAAATAGACTAATATCAATCTGAAGGTAATGTGCTAAGTAATGTTTTGGGATTTGGTACAAACCATTAACGTTTGTATTTCTAAGAACGAGGTGGTATAACGTCTTTTCAGGAGTACCTGAAATTGCTTGTCATGAATGTTCGATTAATTAAAGGAAATTATGCTTTAATTTGTTTGTTTATATAAGCCAGGTTTCTTACGACGGAACCGTTTCTGTTCGAAGCCATATTTTGAAATAATAACGTAAAGATGCCCAGCCCACTTACTTAAGATTTTAATTGCCTTAGTTTCAGAAACGTTCACGTGCAACCTGGCCCGAATATGTATTGGGCTCAGTAGCATATAGGAGAGGGGAAGGGGGAGAGGAAATGAGCCCCACTCTAGGACTGTAGAGAAACGTAATGGCCGGGGGGACCCTGGCCGCTTAAAAAGGAATTAACCGCTGAATTGTTTTCTTTTCTTCTTATTTTTCAAAACCACGGAATCTTTGAAATCTCAAATACAAGAAGGTAGGAAGAAAAGTCTCAAAATCAGTAGGCATTATTTACAAATCAAGTTCCGCCTTAATATGACCTCCTTATGTACTCACTATAATTATAGTTCAGTTTGTCCTTATTTACATTACGGTGCGAGTGTTTGGGGCTCAACTTGTCAGTCAAATCTAAACGTTTGATTACCCTTCAAAAACGGGTTTTTAGAATAATTTCCAGGAGTTCTCAGCTTTTGATGCACATACCAATCCTACTTTTGTGGGCTTAAGAATTCTAAAATTTGAAAGTATTACCAAACTTCACAAAGGTAAAGTTATGTATCTTTACAAAAACGGCCTTCTTCCTGATAGTTTCAATGACATGTTTCTATTTAACGGTGACGTATTGTAAATTTTCACTTCGTTTTCAAGGGCCCAAAAATTTCCTTGGCTCTGGAATTCAGAATTCCTCTAGTATTGAACTTAAGCCATTTTTCTTGGTATAAGCATAGTTTACCTTTCTTAATGCTTGCGTGTACTTTTTCGCTTCTTTCGCTTTTTTCTCGTATTTTTGCATTTTTTTTTTCACTTTTTCTTTTTCTTTTTGCCTTTGCACGTTCAGTCTTATCTATTCTTATCCTATTTAATGATTATTTTCTATGTTGTAAGGAAATTATATGTGTTTAGTTAAATTGTCCTGCTTATGCAAGTATTTTATTTAATTAATTAAGTCATATATTTTAAAGGTGATCCCTTTCATAAGCCTTACTGGCTTCAGTGGGCTCGCTTGCCTCATCTTTCTAAATTCTGTGTATATATTTAATGTAAATTTCAAAATGATAATGAAACAATAAAGCAAAACATAAACCACTTCATAAGCAATGTAAGACAACAAGAGCTGATTCAAATATTCATATGATAAATTTTATAATTCATGCTTGAAGTATGGGGTTGGAACTAAAAGTCTTACTTGTTATAAAGAAAAAAATCAGGCTTCCACACAATCTTAGGACTAAGGTTAATTCCACAGCACTGACGTTTGTCATAAACCACTTCATAAGTAATGCAAGACAGCGAAGTTGATTGGAATACTCAAGTGATAAATATTGTATTTCATACTTGAAGAATGAGGTTCGATCGAAAAAGTCTTACTTGTTATAAAGAAGAATATCAGGCTTCCAAACAATCTTAGGACTGACGTTGATGACAGTGATTCCCTCGAACTCATCAGGGTTCCACGATAGTCGGTTGTTGGTCCAAAACTATTGAACGACAAAAAGAGTACGTTTTAGAATACAATCATGCTATTCAACCTGATTTTTAAAAACTGCTGGGAAGGTAACATTCAGAGAAACCAAAACTGTAAAAATTCCAAACCTTATACATTCTAAGTCACTATATCTCACTGAAACATGAAATCAAGGACTTAGTCTCCTTGCTTCACAAAAGGAAATGGGTAACGTTATTATTTCTTCTCTCTGGATCAGATTTAGACAGAATTAATGTAAAAATACCTGCCTCACCCAAATATTACAGGTCATTATTTGGTCTTTGCTATCCTGCAAACGAAAAAAAAAACTATTACTTAGAAAAAAAGGAATACAGTTAAACATTTGGCATTAAGTATTTGATAGTCGCTGGTTTGAAGTTCCTCACTTTAGAATGGGAAACACAAGCGCCCACAAACATAAGATATGAGACAGTCAAGGCTGATAAATAATCATAACTGCATGCTTTTTTAACTGCACCAGAATTTCAATGAGCATTAAGGGCCTGTTTACGTGGAGGTGGGGGACCCCAGGTAGGTGAGTTAACCCGCTTAGGTGGGGTAACTAGCCAGTCCACATAATCTCTCATTACATTACACGTTAGGTGGGGTGACCCGCCACATGTTACCTCACCTATCTGGGGTCCCCCACCTGCATGTAAACAGGCCCTAAGAGAGGGTTACATTTGTATGATCCTCTAACAATTAATAATTTGGAGATCCAGTTTAGTCCCGTTTATTTGAGATAAGCTATCGCAGTTAGCCGGGCGGTTCGGCTCATGCCATATTTCCTCGTAACATCGCCTTGTTTATATGAGAAGGTAGGATGGCCCGCTTGCAGTTTTGCAGTTTGAGCATCCGAGATCTCGGCAGCGGGCCAGCCCACCCTCTTGCATAAACAGACTGAAAATTGTATAGGAAAGAAGGTATGAGCCGAGACAACATGGTAAAGCGGGCCAGCACGGCTAGCCGAGCGCTCATATTAGACTTTCCGAAAAGTTTCCAAACCTAGGGATTCAAGTTGAAATGAACTAGGCTAAAGAATCATATTAATTGATCCACAGTCGCTTGAATATCGGTACACTCGGGTGATTCCGAAGATTTCTGTAATCTTAATCAAATCTGTCGGGGGTTATTACGTAAAACCCGTCACCACGTCATTAAGTCTTTTTTGGGCAAGCTCACGGTTTGTTACCACCACAACACATATGCTCTGTTTCTATTCAAACCAGGGCTACTCGAACGACTCGGTCCAAAACTGAAAACAGCAACACTGGAAATTAATGCAGGAATTCCAGTCACGTTGATTGCAGAACGCAAGTTTCAAGGTTCTGGTAATTTAACTGAAAAGTACTTTATAAAGCATAAAAAATCGCGTGACCAGCCAAATGCACATTCCAAATTATTCCTTAAAAAATTTCTTTCGTTGGGTGACCAGCCAAATGCACATTCCAAAAAGATCGTGATTTAAACTCCACTTTTAAAGGGTGGCTTATTAAAACATTTCGACCAATCACCAAACAATGTTCTAAAATCATCACGTGATTTTCCAAAAAAAAGTTAATGTACGTGTTGCTTTGCGAAGATTTGGTAAAATTTGATGTTTAAACCAATCAGAACCTCAAGACAAAAGTAAAGTTAGCCTGGACACGTGGCCAAGTTTTGTCCTTTTTCTTATCTGGACCATTTGATGGATTTTCGGAGAAGATACCTGGACACTGGCCAAGTTCGTTTTTCGCGTTTTGATGGACGGAGAAGATTCAGCCTCTGCTACACAGTAGGACGGTGGTGTACACAAACAAGGTTACGAAAAAGAAATCTCCAGACAATACAAAGGCTTGCGTATTTCCTGACTTATCAAGGGTCAGCTAAGTAAATCGTAAAAAGAAAGAAAAAAGCTATTATAGAAGAATCTTTGGACAAGCTACATTGAGATTGCTCAAATGAAATTCCTTCAGGAGAACTGTTCCTACTTGTTCTTCATTATAATCTTCGAATTAAAACTTGGAATCTTTCTAAATAGTTTTACCTTCGGTTACTTATACATTTAAGTGAAAGAGTTAACAGGGCACAAACTAAAGGACTTACAATTCACTATACTGAAAGTTAGAACCGCGCATTCGGGTCAACGGACTTACAACTTAGTAGGACGTCCTTAAATAAATAAGGATCACCCTGGACAACTGAGTGGATTTCTGTTTATATATACACTGAGCGGTAATCGAATTAGAAAAATTACACCGGAAACTTGTGTTTGCGCTGCTTCCTTACAATTAAATCGTGTACATCGCCAGTAAATCAGACATCACGTACAATCGTAAGCGTCTGCAAACAAGACAACGTTCCCATATTTTGAAGACATCTTCGGAACTTGTGTTACTGTTATTCAGACGGTTGAGGTATGCTTTTGAAATTCTTCTTTGTTGATCCGATTTTTCGTGGGCTACATGTATACCGAGAGTACCTTCCTTTTGCATGTTGTGGCCATGGAGTAGTATTATGAATCACTTAACCGAAAATAATATGGTTAACATACCAACAATTGCCCAAAATGTTCCCCAATCTTAACTAAGGAAGGCTCATACCGTATAGTTACACCGCACTTCCGTTTTCACATGTGTTTTCAGGTTTGTTTTAAGACACCACATACCCTATTTAAAGAACATTGTATATCGAGGTACACTCAACCACCATGGCCAACGCCGACAATGACTTTAATTCGGTTACCCATGAGCTTTATCGAGGCCACATTTTAAAAACCTCGTTCCTTAGGAATTTTCTCTCGAGTTTATAATTGACTGCACTAAACAGAAAAATAGGGCCTCCTATAACTGAATGATATCTCAAAATCGAAATCCCTAATAACGAATTGACGTTGACAAACCGTCACCCACTGGACTGTAAATCCTTTAAAAACTATTCGCATGGTTCGGGGTGTAGTGAGAACCGAACCTTAGCGAGAAGAAAGTGGCCTTGCGTGTTCTTTACCAATGCAACATTGATGTGATTAAGATCATAATATTCCGATAAAATACACTTAAACAGCTTAAAACGGCGTTAAAAAAACCCAAGCTATTTTACATCACTTTTAAGACTGAAAACTGAATTTACTTATATATCAGTCGCTGAGTCATTCTTGATTACATCCTCCACAAATGGAACCTACTGTGAAAGCTCTATGACTATGCGGTGTACCTCTCCACATCCGTAGGTCAAGATAACAAAAAAGATTTAGACGTAATGTCTGGAGAAATGATAACAACACTATAGTTGCTGCTTGTTCACCAGACCTAATCGACATCGGGTTTAAAAGATTCTTGTTTTACATTGTCCGATGCTCGGATAACTCTAAACACCTTTGGCCTTGGGGTCTGCCAACTGTTTTGTGAGTTATCAAGAGATAAAAGAAGTATTCAGGCTGGCTTTAAGACAGTCTCATTTTGTGATACCAGGCATCGTAAACTTGGAGTGAGGATAACTCAGGAAAGTCGTTAAACTGAACAAACATTATACGAGACTACGTTATTTTAGGCCTGATTTGTATTCCTTCGCTATGCGTTCTGCAAAACCCAAACACTATAAGATATATAAAATATCGCAGATAAAAAAAAACTAAAGTGAATGAAACGATATTTCAGTGAAGTGGGCACACTCAAAGTTTACCAACTTACCAGCCCACTGAAAGCTGAAAATTACTGATTACTATCTGGCTCAGAGGTATGACGAGTAAAACAACAAAGAAAAATAATCATTCTAAATGTATCGTTGACTTAAAAATCGTTGCGAAGGGTGCGGCTTTCTAATCTTGCCCGGAGCTGTTTGACTCTACTGAACAACAGAAACATATGGTTCATTGGATTAGAGTGATTTTATTTGATCTCATTTATTAGGACATGACCTGTGCGGAAGGGCGGGGAGCTAAAAAAAGTATATTTTTTGCTCACTACAGAAGAAAGGCCAGCTGGCTCTGGGAAATATTTTGCCAGACATATCGTCTGAATTTACACACAAATGTGCACGCGACAAGGTAATATGGGATATGATCAATACACTGTTCCTGACGACTGTAGCTGTCAAACCTACTTTTGTTGCTCTGCTTTCACATTCGCAAACATAAGCAAACATACGTCCATGGCGTCTCGTGTCATGTTTTCAAATTTCTTTGATGAACAGTGCACTCAAAACTACCCACAATACCTTTCGGGACTGTCGCATGCACTTTTTTCGACAACCTTCTTCGAAATAGCTGTTTACGAATGCATAAGCAGCCGACTCTCTTCACAGTATTCACAACTCATTATATAGCTATCAGCATCTAAATCCTAATTATCTATGAACTAGTTACACAAAAAGGGCGTAAAATTATACGACCAAAGTAGACAAAATTAAAATTAAATGGTTAACAAATGTGCACGGCTGTCAGGCGAATGCATTGTTGGCAAAGGCCTCGAAATTGACCCTAAAAATGTGTTTGTTTTATTGATGAACCAATTATTTCAGTTGTACAGTCAACTCTCTCTAAGACGGACACCTTTGGGACCGGCACTAAGTGTCCGTCTTAGAAAGGCGTCAGTCTTATAGAGAGTCAAATAAAGGAAGTAGAGAAAGGCAGGGACCAACTCTAAGAGTCCGTTTTACAGAGGTGTCCGTCTTATAGAGGTGTCCGTTAAGAGAGAGTCGACTGTACTGTCTATCTGTGACTCTACAGGTGACGTTTTATACTAAAAGCTATTAAACAAACTCAGAGAATAGTTGAAAATAGGTTTTTCTAAAATGTTTCGAAATTGTAAGCGACAGAATTTCCTGCCCAAAGAGTGGCCTATAAAAGAAAGTAGTCCGGTGATACTGCTATTTATTGATATCAGACCCATAAGATACAATATAATTGGTTCCTAAGCTTTGAGAATATGACTCTTGGGAATTTAAGTCTGTTTCAGAGCAAAATCCTTGACGATTGATCAATCGGAAATTAAGTGCAGCTTGCTTATTACAGTAACAGCGTTGCCCTTTCCAGAGCTTATTTGATCTAATTGTTTTTAATTTACCCTACGCAAAAATGTTAATCCATTTTTACCAAAGTTCTATTTTACAAGATTGATTTTTAATGAAATTATACCGACACGAGCCCTTTAAGAGAGTTTTGTATCAAAACGCACTGGAAACCTGTGTGTTTATGGATGTTTACACGAGAACGATATCTATCCGTTTACAAACTTATCCCCAAAACGAGAGAGAGAAATAAAGGCCTAACCGTCGCAGAAACAACAGGGAACGTTGTTTTTGTCCTCAAACAGCCGTACTACTGCGGCAGGGGGGCAGGATCAGCTGCGGATTAACCACGACCCATGCTAACCGGGCTAACTCCATAAAAACTGAATTAATCGTACCGAGATTAAGTTTACAACCCAACTCTACTTACGAAATCAACAAGCTGACTGAATGCCATGTCAAAGGTTACGACCACAGCTTTGGAGCGGTTATTTGTTGGGAGTATTTGCCTTTTCTTGAGGTAGTTTTTGATAAGATGATGAGCCTTGATTCTGCATCGTTGCGATTTTCCTGAGCTGGAATAGCGAAAAAATAAAAACAGACAGATGTCATTCTTAGGTAAAACAAGAGACCGTCAACGATTTTCAGTACTGAAGTATTGTAAACCGCTGATCAACTGTAATCAAACATTTCAGCGATGACGCCTGTGGAATTAGATGAACTAAGATTAAATACATGAAACGAAAAAAAAAAATTGCCACCTGATTCAAATGTCTTCCAAGGCTAATTATCGGTAAAGAGCACAGACTGTTTTTTGAATGCCTTTTAGCAAAAAAAATTCATGAGGATCCTAATTTTTCGATTTCTGCAGGGTCTTTTTCACGAGCTGTAAAAAAAGTTCTGAAGTAGCCGAAATACCGGTGTGATAAGACCGGAAAATGCCACTGATATTGCCGGAGACATCAGCCAAATCAGGGCAAAATGTAATTGTGACAGAGTGACCCCGATTAACGTGTTTATATCTCTGCGTGTTTTTCGGAGCTTTCAAGCTTGTTCTTTTATCTGCAACATACCAAAAATCACCGATCCGCAAAATGGAATTCCGTTTACTTAATTGAATACTAAAAAAGATAATGTGTAACTGTCAAAACTCAAAATAAAACTTCATTACTGCGTTGCTACTTCAAGAAAATCAGTCACAGAAAGATACAAATTTCGTTTTGTAAAATCCTAAGAAGTAAATGATACTCAACAAAAGTTCTCCCAACGAGGATTCATTTGAATGGTAACACCATAGGATTTCGTCCACAGATTTATAAGTTAGTGCAAAACTATAATCTTGCCATAACGGAAGGAAGAGGTTAAAGAGACATAAAATCTGCCATATTCGACCACATGCAATGGCCAAAAAATAAAACCACCTTAAATCTCATAACAACATGATGACAAATTACTCCATTTTCCATACCTACGTAAACATCGCTCAGCGTAAGAAGAGTTCCGTCTAAAAACGCAGTAATTGCTAGAAATCCGCTCATTTTCTGACCGCCCGTACACTTGAAAAGCCTGCCTTACGATGATGCTGATAACGTGAAGTAGACTTGTGCTAAAACCGACCAAATCTTGACCCGTGGTTTAACTGGCTAGGGATGTACAAAGGTGTAACGCCTAAACCGACTGGCAAACAAGCTTATCAAGAAAAAGAATTTACATCTGCTTTTGCGACTATTGATCGCGTAAACGAATAAGATCCCTTCAAACACAAATAACTGATATTGTTTGAGTTAATTAAGTAAGTCGTTGTCGTACATCTGAAGATCGATGGCCATCCTTGAAATTTTAAACCTTCAACAATCGTACGCCAGTGAAACGATGCCGTTTTAACACAGCAAAACTTGCTTGGAAACAATGCCACCTAAAAACACGCACTGTTGATTGCCAAAGTGAACCACCTCGATTGAATTGAGTAAGTACACCTTAAAATTCATGCTGTCAATTAAACGTTAGATAAAACCTACTATAGCTTGCATAAGACAATCTGTTCTTGCATAAAACACCCAGTTATATTAATCCTACGGGAGTGCTCAAGGCTGCTGAAAGAAAAGACGGAAATATTCCCAGCTTTCGTAAGCCAAAAAATATAGAGAAACAAACAGCTCTGTGGTTAAAACAAAAAAGCCTTAGAGTTCTCATGACATCTTTTCACTATAAATTCGCTTTCGTAAAAGTTATTACTTAGTTAAGTAATTGGCCTAAAGTGAAAGCATCTGTGTCTGCCTGATGGCTGAAAAACCTAAAATGCTGCTCTTTTAAGTTGAGAATTACTTTTCAGTTGTCACTTCAAGGCTCAAGAAAAGTTTCTTATAAACTTTCATCATTGAAATTCATTATTCAGACATTATGTTGACATGGTAGGTGCGTTTAAATCATAAATATCTGAACATATCCATGTGCGAAAATTTGTACTTGATTTTCGTACAACTGGGAAAAGAAAGCTAAGAAAGGAAGCTAAGAGGATAGAAAATGCAAATCCTTCGAAACGAGGGAGATTAGTCCTTTTGAACATCGACTAGGTCACTTATTGAACGTATTATTTTTCTGCGATATATCGTGACTTAATAACCTCGGAATGCATTGTCTGATTGCAATATGCAAATTGACCACTGTCGACTTTATCTTCCAACGATCGGATAATTACTTTTTTAAACATAAATGACAATTCATTTAATTAGTGATACAATTACCATCTGGTTTGGTATGGAAATCTTGCGTCTTTATAGACCCCGGTTTCTTTAGGTTTTCTCTAAGAAAATCATTTTAAAAGTTTTTCAAGCAGCGTAGATGGCTGATGGACAGCCTTGAAATGACTTTAAAATCTAGAATAAACGTAAAAGCGGAGTATTTAGACAATAAATAAAAGGCGTGAGTTTTATTGCTCCATAATGACGATTGACCCTGTAGGAACATATGGTTTCGTTATGTACTATGGTCGTAATTCCTTAGAATTCAAAGAAGTTACTCAAAAGCAGTACCCCCTTCTGGCGCGATGATTCTCAATATTATATTAAACTGTTATTTAGAGTCTGTTTCTATCCATATGTCTGAGATCATTTAAAAGTTTTGAGTGCAGTGTCTCTACAATGTGTGAAATGCGAGCAATTGGGCATCAGTGATCATCAGCTTAGAAGCTTACGTTTCTTCTGTTCAAGGTGGCTCTCTCTGTAAACACCACAAGAGGTTAGAAAAAAATAGAAGTTTGGATCCACTAGAGTTTCAAGTTTGCATAATTTTTAAACGTTCATTTTTAGCCAGTTGCTTTTGTTAAGTGACAATTTATTGTGAACATTTTGAACTTGAGAATGAAATCATGACGTCACCGAAACGTGGTTGGATGTTATCGTTATTTTTTTATGTTTTTTTTTTTTAAATTTTTACTTGCTTATGACTGAATCGCAAATTGAACTCGTTAATATTAATGATGTCGTAAATTTTTCCCTTCACTCCGCTTGGCAAGCCAACATAAAACTAAAAAGGCGAAAATTTGTTTTCTTATCTTCTGATAATCAGTACTTTCCCTGCTAAGCGATTAATCAGTGACGTGCTTCGAAGTTTTGTCATGGATTAGCTTTTTGTGGTGCCTTTTACGAGACAGACAATTTGCGCAAACGCAAAAACTTCCGCAAGGTAGATGCCACCAAACAAAAAACAAAGTTATAGACCCTACTCAATAAATATATGGGCCGTCAGAACGTTTTGTGAAGGCGATCATTATGCCTAGATAGGGAAATTATTATCAATGAATGGCAATTTGCGCCGGGTCTTCCTTCCTTGTCGCCTTATTCCATCAGACACATTTACAGACAATACGTTCTGTAAATCGTGAAAATTTGATTGCTTGAAAATGTGCTATCGAAGCGTCTGCTACACCTGGGCTATACCATTCAAGTCAAGTCAGTCATAGCTGGGATAGTTTACGTAGCTCAGAGACGGGTATTTCATTTTGGGCACAAAGAAATTTATATATCAAAGGCCATACATGTAGCTGTTGTTGTTGTTGTTGTTGTTGTTTTTTTTTGCGTGCTGGTCGAGACAGCAAAATTTCAGTTATGACAATTTCCCAGGACAATTTGCACTAGCTAAGTCTTAAAACCTTCCGAGTTATCTCCTTATCGGTGCCATTTGTAGATAACGTTCGGTAAATCGAGAAAATTAGATAGTTTTAACAGGGCCGCAGAAAATGTCTGTTTTTATTGATTCCCGCCTAGTCACCTAAGCACAGAAGAAATTCTTCAATTTAGTTTTAGCTAAAGGATGCTTACTATTAAGAGTTGTGATGGCGGGTATTGCATTGCTGTGCGAATTTCAATAGAGGCCGGCGTAGTCATTGTCCATTGGAAAAAATTCACCGGTTGTCGTTTGACCTGCCTTATGGGAGTCACTTTTAGAAATCGAAGAAGTTAACTGACGATGCACAGACGTAGAAATGCATGTTATAATTTCCACTCCATGTTCACGGTACAGCTTCTTAAAGTCAAGTCAGTATTAGCCGCGCCTAAAATAAGACACAAACTGTACCCTTTACAAGATCCCTCCTAACCAAGTCGCGTTTATGCAAGACGCCAATACACTTTATGCTTGTGCCATTCATACGCAAAGTTCGCGTCTTATTTAAGGCGTTTCCGCTTTAAGACTGTTCTTATCTTTCCTCGTACGAATGGCCCCGATTATTTCATTTAACACCAGGATCAGAGAACTTTACTTTACTCGTAACTTAACGTTTCGGTGCGGTTGTGAACATGACATGAATTGATAGCCTAAAACATAAGCAAATTACTCTGCCTCTCCAGAGTCAGGTACTCAGTGCCCGTATCCCAGCATTACTTTAAATTACCCACATGCAGGGCTCGAAATTAAAAAAATCCTCAGGTCGCCTTTTGGAAGCCAACTGGAGAAATATATGGTCGCCAGATGCAGATTTTAAGTCACGGGTTTGAATAATTTTAATGACGCATATCATAGTATGGCGCTATCCGTCAGATTTGATTGTTTAAAAATTTCGCAGACAGAAGTCGGTATAAATTGGGAGGTAAACTGGCTTTGTTTATGCGATTTGGCACATTTATTATGATGAAAGCAAAGCAAGATAAGATGAAATGTTTGTTTTAACTTTACTATTTTAATTTAAATCTAAATTATAAAGAAATCTGGACGCCAATGTGGCTACTAAACCAGAATTTTTTAATAGTCGCCAAGGAGAAAATGTTCGTCGCATTGGCGACCGCATTAGTCGCAATTTCGAGCCCTGACATGGACACGAAACAAGCAGTTCCATTGAATTTTATTTAAGGCGCTTAACCAGGTCTGTAAACAGAGATCAACCTCAAGATAACGTGCATTCATGGACTTGTAATCCTGTAAGTATATATAAAGCGGATTTTAACCTACTGCCTCGCACTG